GCAATAAAATTTGGCTTGTATTCTGTTATAGTACAAGCCTCAATACGACCTTGCGTCCCCAGCCTGCCGTGTTTCTTAATTGGGGAGTTTTTGTCCCGCACTTCGTTGGTTCGATGCGAGCGCCCCTCATGCGACCTTTTCTCCTCCCCTCTGAGTGCTGCATGCGGTCTTCATAACATCACACAATCGATTACATTTGGTCGCTTTCTTAAGCTCATTACTGTTTCATTCTTCAATTAGTTATTTAGTTACGAATGGTGCGAATAATACTTACGCGTGCTAATTTTTGTAAGTCGATAATCCTAAATTTGGTCGTATTTAATTCTTCTTACCGACATTTTTGATCTGATTATTATCGTGCTTACGCTTCCACTCCTTATTTCAACCGTCTGTTTACATTGTTCTAGACGTGTAACTGACTTGCACACAAGTGGCCATTTTTCTTGGCGATGACGCGGTTATTCTGGCGATGTTGGCTGAGCCGCTGCGCCGTCTGTGCGACGCTCAGCTCCCCCTCTGCCTTCCGCTTCCGGCTAAAATTGGAGGCTTTCTGAGGAGATGACGACCGATGGAAACGCTCTGTCTTTGATGTTGCTCGGCGACTGAGCAGAGATTGTCCGTAAAGCGTTTTGTAGTCGCGTTTACCTCAACCTTCTTCTGGAAACATTTTCCATTATTATTCTTGACTTTACATTGAGTTTTTTCATGCGTCTCTGTTTCAGCTTTGTGGTCTATGAGGAATTATAATGATGTGCTTTACAATGAGAGCGTATAGAGTTCAAAGCGTTTCAACTTACGTTCATACATTTTATGTAACATGATTGCAGAGCTCCCTTGCTTTGCAATCATTCAATCTTTTCAGTTATAGTGACTCGTTAGAGTTCCATTGTACATTTGAAATCTCTACTCAAAATAGCGGGTCTGTTTGTTACGAGCTTTACAGGAAAAGATCGAATCCATGCAAAACAATCCAAGTTCATAACGTACCGGATTCAAATTTCCTTAACATTACTCTTATCTTGCTCATTCTATGTAGTACCTACCTTAAAGGCATTTTCGATCAAGCTGTTGGATGCCCATGTAAGTATGAGACCGAATTCGGTTCATATAATTAATAATCAAATAATTTTGGCTCTCAGTACACGCCAAGATGTTGAATCGTGTTCGGTATCCTTAAAGTTTGGAACTTGGAAAACGCATGGCAATATAATTGTAAGTACCTATTCTAATTGATCTTGGAAATAAATTTGCCATCGGAGCATGTTTGGCACCCAAAACCAAACATCGGAGCATGTTTGGTTTGGGAATTCGTTCAAAACTGCTTTCAATAACATCTAACTTCAGTTATGACGTATAAGTAATGTTTGTTGATCGGGTGCCTGTTAGCCAAACCTGTAAAATTGTACCCTTAGGTTGGCAATTCTCTGAGCGCAACGTGAGATTATTAGCAAACCTTCTCCAAAACCCACAATTCAAAGTTTGTAAAAAACTTCATAACCGTTCAATTCTTGGGTAAAATGCTCTGGAATACTGCACAGTTCTGGAGACCACGAGAATGGGAGGTGGTCAGCCCCTGAACTGTGAGTAAGAGTTCTTCCTCGAAGACCTCTCGTATCGATCGCTGTCAGCTCCGAGTTCTCCGTAGCCTCGCCGTTTGTAGCGTTGTCCTCAGGCTCTTGGCTTGATTCTTTTCTCTATATTATCAGGACAGAGAGTATGTAATCAGACGTGAACCAATTTTTTAATTCCTATTTCAAGTTATAATTTTTTTCTTGAAAACTTGATCAACTTCTGTGCATTTTTCTCTCCCGAATGTTGACATTTTGTCTGCGTTATTCATCTGTAGATTTTATTTATTTGTTATTTTTCTAATCTCTCCTTAATTTTCTTTTATGCCGCTGCATAAAAGGCTGAGTATAAAATTATTCTTGGTATATACTAAGTTATATGTCTTATGACAGAAGCTTTCATCCCCCCGAAATTCTCCTGACGCCGTCTTGTTCTTTCGTCACCCTCCACACGACAAACTCTTGTATTCCTGTGGCGTCCATGTGGCAATTTACCAAAGATGGAGGATCGCCGGGGAATCAATCACGAGGCGCGCGTGTGTTGAGATCCAATGGGCTACTGGCGAGCTGCAACTGTTCATTTTAACGCACTTCGTGGATTTCTAAGTGCCTGAATTGTTGCATGATGGGAATTGTCAACAAATCTGTGACCTTAACGAATTTGTGGACCTGCATCTCATGTTAACAATAGAGCAGCGAGTTTGTGTTTTTGTACATTTTTGGATATTCGATAGTTCAACAGTAATTTCATAAAGCTTCTTTTATATATTTTTTTAATTGACTTGTCTGGTTTTTTAGTAAGCCAATCACCTGTGTTGCGCCTGAAACTTGCAAAGAAAATCTAGCAAACATTTGCTGCAATGCTTTCTAATTCTGACTATCTCTACCATCCTTGCTAAATGCGAAATTGAAGGATGCTTTGCACTGAGGCAGCGCATGCTTGTTCTCAGTGAATATCTGCGTGGTGATGGGTAATTTCTCGTGCATGAAGCGTTGTGTTGGCGCGAGGCGTGCATTATCCCCTGTGGTGTCAGGCTATTACCTTGAGCCATGAGCAGGCTTCCGACGCCCAAATACTCGTTGCTGTCAGCGTTACTGTGCGCCGCACAATAGCGTTATGACCCTCGCTCAGAGACGTGCATAGGCTCTTCTCTTACATATTATTTCAAGCTGATGATAGTGTCTCTGTGATAGACGTTTACGGGTGTCTATCACAGTCGATAGGCGTTTGTGATACGGGCGTCTCGCTTTAATATCGTATTAATTCTCTGAGGATTATTTACTTTACTCATAAGCCATGTTAAAATTTGCCTCTAAACTGCGAATTTTTATTGAAATTGAGCTTCTGAAAAAGATTTAGCGATGGAAAAATTTTCAGTGCCCAATTTAAAGTTATACGAGTGTATCTACGATGAAATTTCGTCAGCGTTTCTAATATGCACTCTGGAGCTGCGTTGTGGTCCGGGAGTGTTTGCACGCGGGAGGAGGAGACGAATGTGTTGCTAATTTGTTGGTGATTGCGACACCTTATCTCGAGCTGCAGGCTGCGCTGCGCACAATGAATATGCAAGCTCTAAGGTCTCACGACGACTATTGCATTATTGTTGGGAACTGTCAGAAATCTCAAAGTTAGGTCTGTATATAGTCCCAAATTCTGTAGAACCAAAAAAAAAATAAATCACGAAATGGTTATGGTGTAGAACGACAGCTCTTCGACCGATTTTAATATGCCATCTAGAGAAAGCGCTATTTGTTATTCCTCAGTTACTCGTAAAATTACGGACGCTCAAAACATAATTATGGTCTTCTGTAAGAAAATTGTTTGCCGCGGCGCAAGATTGTGGGTATATCGCCTTAAAGTTCTAACTCCTTCCCAGCATAATATATCTTGAAATGGACCAACATCATGAAAATATTTTAGTCGTGTTTCCTCACGACTGAAATGTTAGCAAGTTTGGGACCTCAATGAAATGATTACGATGCAGTGCCCTTTAAAATGTTTCAAAATTACCATTTGATCAAATTTTGTCAGCTAGTGAGTTTTGATTGATTTAACACTAATTATTCTTGACACTATTCAGCGACTTAATAAATAAAGTTGGATTTTTAATAAAAAATTCGTCTTCATTCCGAAAACTTAAGTGCCTCACAAACTTGTGTGAAAATTCATAATGTGGGCATCAAACCAGGCGAATCTGTAGCCTCAGGAAATTCATACGATTTGTTTCACAGCCGTTTTCTTGGCCCGACAATTTACTGACAAACTAGACAGTTATCACCTACTGTAAATACTTGCCCATGTCCATTGCATGTCAGCAATAAGAAGGAGCGAATACCACGCATAGACCAAGATAAATTGCAGTAAACTTACGTTCATTGAATGCAAATTTGTGGCTCTTATATTCAACCGAGGTATATGGTCGTTATTGTAGATGCTGCATTCTGAATGTAAGAAGCTTTGCGCTTTGTGTAGGCTTCTCTAATGCAATCATAACACAGATAAGTTTCATTAGCTCGCTTGTTATATGCGAAAAAATTCTACTGTTCGATTCCATTTCGTTTAAGAATTCAGAAACTTCAATTATGACCACTACCCAATGTTTTGAGGGCAAGATTAAATTTTTGAGCAACTATTTAGACAATGTTACGTCGAATTGTCAAATTCTAGTTTATAATGAATCTGACCGCGTTGATAAATTATCTGTACCGCCTTGAAACAAAATGCTGTAACTAATTGATTCAAGACTTCATCGGCGCTTTTGTACTTTTTACACATTTTTGCCCTTCTTTGAAGAAGCAGAATTCACCGGTGAAAAATTGAAGTATTTATTGCTATTATAGCTTTCTCATCTGAAGTATAGCTTTATTTCACACTAAAGCATTATTCAGCCTTATTTCCTGCTGTGTAATTTCTTAAGTGTTGGACTGTGTTATAATTTGGCGAAGACGACATGCAGCTAACTAGTACTACACCCTGATAACGTTTTATTACTTGTCAAATACTAACTACAACACTCAACCGCTTTCTCACGTTCCACAATTTGTTAGCGTATCTTTGGTAACATCAGTATGAAAAAAATTATCGCTTTTAGATATTTTGAAGCTCAACCGAATTTGTCCTTGCTTAACCGATGTGGTAGAGGGTTTTTTGAAGATTTTGAAAATTCCACGAGAGTGATCTGCTCGTTAGCCTAGTTATTTTCTTAAATGTGATGACTGCACTTCTTTGTATGGCTTTACTAATCCCTGTGCGCCAGAAAAATACGACAGAAAGCCTGATTTTCGAACAGTACGTTCTTATTGGTACAGATCTGTGGCGATTTATAAGTTATTTAATTTATTTAGCCTTGTGTACCGAGCCCTCAAATTAAGTTTTTAAATGAGTTAAGTAAGAATTTAGGATAATGTTTGATGATTTGTTTTTCTTTGCAGGGGACGTGCTGACGGGAGCTTGCTACGTCGGACTATGGAACGTGAAGGCGATGCGATGGTTCGTGTTGGCGCCGCTGTTCCTGTACCTCGTGCTGGGGACGGTGTTCCTCTTCGTGGGCTTCGTAAGCCTGTTCCGCGTGCGCTCGATCATCAAGCACAGCTGCACCAAAACCGACAAAATGGCTCGCTTTGTAGTCCGTATTGGAGTGTTCAGTTTCCTGTATTCGGTGCCCGCTTGGATTGTTGTGGGCTGCCTGATTTATGAACAGCAACATCACAACGAATGGATGCTGGGATGGCAAGAAGAGAAATGCATGTCTCGCGAGGAACCTTGGTTGCGTTACGGCATCAGCTGCCCTCGGGGTAAAGATCATATGGTGCGGCCTCCACTGATCTTCTTCCTCGTCAAGTACCTGAGTTCTTTGTTCGTTGGTATCACCGCAGGATTTTGGGTTTGGTCTAGCAAAACAATTTCTATTTGGAAGAATTTTTACAACAGTTTGTTGGGCCGCCGTCCCGAAAGCTACGTGTGACAATCAGCCCCTGCGTGGTCACAACAAAATCAACAAACGCCTCTCAACCATTCGCTGCATCATCCTTTGGTGCAGCCAATGCATCTCCATCATCCGCACACAGCTGGAGGAGCCTCTTCCACCACTCCGTTAGCTTCTCATCCGTCTATTCCATCCCATCATATGTCTGAAGAAACTATGCCATTCCGACCAGCTCACACTCCCGACGAGACTAATTTCTGACCTTGTACTATCCTCAGCTCTGACCCGGCTTGAGCACTTACTTACTACTTCAGATATTGCCAAAATTTCTTCTAATTTATGATGTGGATTCCATTTCTACGGATAAAAATACTTCAATTCATTGAATCGCCAATTCTGTTCATTGTATTGCCCGTGAAATATTCTACCATTATACTTATGGTTGCACCAATAATGCATGACTTATCTGTGGTTGATCAGACGTAGGCACTGAAACCCAAAAAAGAGCTCGAGACTCGACTGCATTATAAGCCAAATTAAATGTTTAATATGAAAAAATATAAATTTTTATTCAATTTTCACTCCACTTCTCTAGTCCCATTCTATGCACCTGCACTCAAGTTTCGCTCACTGCCCTTCACGTGTTCATTTAAAGTTCATCTTCACCAGTCACCCTCATGCACAAGAAAGACTCGGCGTTTGTTCAGAGTTTGGGGCGATCACGTAGGGCGATTGTAGGATGCGTGGCGTTCGTGTCCACGATCTTCATGCATCATCTTTGTTTATAATATTAATTATTAGGCCACTAGACGTGTCATTGTCTTGAGTTGGTTGCTAGCTTTAGTTTTGTTTTAGATGAGCGACTGGCAAGGCAACATCTAAGCGCTCTCTGGCTTCTCCACTAAAGACTCCATCACACTGCTTCTACGATCACAAATTATTTCGTAAATTTTTGTAAAGTGCATAATTTTAAACGGAGTCCTTTTCTCTATTTGAGTTACATTAAATGTTTTCAAGCTTGTACCGTAATTCAAAATTAATCTCATACATTGCAAGTACTCTGGAAAAAATGAATAAATGTTGATATTTGTTTGAAATATTCACTTTTGTTCATTTCACCTTGCCGTAGTATGAATTATACGAATTTTGTTCGATAACTCTAAATACTGATTACTGATTCGTATACGTATGCAGTTTGATGACGTGCAAGCGCTTGCTTAATTTTTGCTAAAGAAACTCGTGCAGCGAACATTCTTTTTGAATCCTTAAGATTTAAAAACACGCTTTATGTGCTTAACTCCTCTCATGCCTTTAATAGGCGCCTTTAAATTCTCTCAACCTTCATTAGATTCTTTCTATAATCATGAGAATTTTGAGCGCATGTGTATGGTTACGAGGCATGTCTAACTGTCACTCTCCAGAGCTTAATATTGCCGCGCTTAACCCGTGACATATTTTAGTGTCAATTGTATGTGCAAGACGTACAAATGCAGGGTTGTTAAGATGTAAGGTAGGGTGCTTATTGTTGATACTGCTTTGTTCTTCTGTAAATGGCGTGCATGTAAATCGTCATACTTCGTATAAATAAGCTCTTAGAATATTGAATCCTATAGTAAAATTAACTTATAACGCAGTAGTCAGCTGTTGTTCATGTTAAAGTTTTGCAATTCCATCGCATTCGTAATTCAAGTGTTGTCAAAAAATCACAGAAAAACAAAATGTTCTGTCTTTGTATGTCTTCAGTAAGCAATTAAGTAAAAATGGATCTAAATCAAAAGTACGTGTAAGGTTTTTAGTTATCTTGACCCGTGAATTTCCTTGTTCTTCAATTTCGAAATTTTTTATACAACGTCGATAGCTGCATCGTTTATTGACATGGTTAATGCACGATCGTAGTTGCACCTCATTCAAATTCCTGTGTGTTTAGAAAGTTATTATTTCTACAAGTAATATCTCTCCAGTCATCAAAAAATTGATAGACAGTTAATATAGATAGTGAATTTTGTTGATAATGTACAGTTGAATTATAAACTAGTTAAATGATTCTTTTTCTTCTTACTGTCATTAATGAATTAATATTTAAGGTGACACATGTTGATACTTAATGCCGGCGCTTATCACGCTGTATGTGTATCTCATACTGAAGCATGACTTATTCATTGTCGTCACACAAGGGTTTTTTTAATAGCCATGGAAATTAAAGCTTATATTTTTTATATCCTTTGAATAAAATGTACTTAATGCGAATATCAATTTATTCATACAGTTCATTGCAATTATTACGAAAGATGTTTCTGTTTTTACAGTGTTTCAATCGTTCGACTTCCCAATGATCAATACTGAGTGAAATTAAGTTAGAAATGTGCTAATGCTAGATCAATGCTTGTGACTTCTGCTTCGCCATATTTGCCTGCCATGCAGGCTTTCCCAATCTTGTCGATACATGAGGCATTTATTAATAAGAGTAGCATGCCAGTTCGGTGAATGTACATATGTGACTTGTGTTCTGTCTTTATAGCCAACAATATCGTTCTGAGCGCCAGGGGTTGTTGAAGTAGTTCTTGTTTTAGAGGGACCGAGATAATCTCATTTTCTCATTTTCATAATCAGTGACTTAACTTCTAATATTTAATATGGGTACTAGAGCTTTTATTGAAAAACCACGCCAAAATTCCTCCCAAACTTACGCCGATTATTGAGCAGAATAAATTGCCAGTCATCCATCCAATTCACTTTGGCCGCGCCGACTTTTTGGTGCAGAGGATTAAACACGCTTCTTTCGGCGTAAATAATTTTTAAACTGTTTAAATCCTGTATTTTTTGGAACATAATTGAGGTATTTTCTGAAGGTAGCAAGCCTTCCTCTGTGCCATGCTGCAATAAGTATATAATTGGTTTACCATTAAGTCGCAGCCACGCGATTTACTAAGCTTTGCTAAACTGTTATTCGAACCGACGTTTGTAATCCTATCAAAAAGTACTTAGGAAATTTTAATTGTTCATTAAAACCATCTCAGCTTCCATGTCTCTTGTATGTTTCTTGTTTCCTAATTCTCACAGAAATTGACGTACTGCCAAATGATTGCGTATAAATGTGATTGAAATATAAGTAGCAGGAACTGTCCTATGATTTGTTGTTTAGATCTTCTTGTACAACACTCGTTCGAGTGCCGCTCGACACGAGTTTCCTCGTCTTCGCTGTTTTGTGTACAATTGTAGCTGTGTAAATACGACTCGTGTACTTTAACGCTGTGTGAATACTTGCTTCGCTGAATAAACGATCTCTTGATGAGTTGTTTCTTATCCTCGCTGCATTTGAAAATTTTTTCGTCGTTAAAACATTAGTCACTTTTTCAAACATTGAACATTGTAATAGCACAAAGAAATCCATTCGTTGATGCCCATTATATAGTAAAATTATTCTAGAGTACTTCTTTGATTTGCCTGCTGTTTCAACTCGATATAATTCAATGTGAAGCAAGAAATCAGTGGTATGTACTATCTCAGTATCATGTTGTGCTCTGAGGTTATCTGGAGTCGTGTCCCAATAAATTTAGTAGACGAAGTGAAACATTTTTTCGACTGCTGATAATTATAATTAATGAAAATAGAAATTTATAACATTGGAGTCAAACTCTCGCACTGATTTCCACGTCCTTGATAATGATTCATCCTCCACTCTTCATATCCTATATTCAAATGGAGTCATTAGTCAACAGCAGCCACTCACGTAACTGCAAACAAGTGCAGGCAAACACCTAATGAGAGAATCTCTTGAAGACGCTCTCGAGTCGAGTATTTTGTGTACACTTCCACCCCGGCCTCCCCACGCTAAATGAACGGGTAGAGCCGGCACTGCAAACAACTAATCCAGCAGCCATCACGGCTCACCGAACTGTGACTATAAATAATGGTACACCGCCAGCCTCACACCACTAACATTTGAAATACTGACAACTCAAGTGAAGTTATTGGGAGTACATTACTCCGTAATGGTCGAAATTTATTCCATACAATATTCAATACGCAACGAGAACATCATTTAGTTTGTAGTCATTCCTGGTTGGAAAAGTTGCCCATATTCAATTTTAGTCACCGTTTTCAACACACAGTCTGCTTCCTTGGACTACCTTTACCTCTTCAGTTAAATAGTGTGGCCAGGTTAATGTCTCGTACATTGTACAGAAAAAATTTCAACGACCGTATAATCGAATTCTGGATAATGAAAAAATTAGAAGATGGTGCAGCATGTGAATTACTTAACATGAGCCTCGTTAACTAGCTCAAAACGCTTATTGTTGAACTAGCTCGCGAATATTTCCTGATCTGTGCCCACAAGATAATATTTCGGTAAGTCTTCTTTGCAGTGGAATCGTAAATTTCACAATTACTTACACAATTAAATGATTTAAAGCTGTATTTATAGTTTCATCAAACTTCCTCTGAGGAACCGAGTAAAATACGCAATACACATCTCTCCTCTCGCCCTAACATCAAAATCATCACGCATATTTTTTTGGCTGAATATGTTTTACTTGTAAGGATTCATGAAATTATGGATAACTTACCTAGGTATTTAATTATATCATTTAATTCAGCCCTAATAAATTCAGCGATGTGCCCGCTGATTTTTAGTATTTTAGTATTTTATTACGTTGATAATTATAAGTTCATGCGTTGATGATTATGATTATAAGTTCTACGGCCATATAAATCAAGAAGGGCAGTCTCATCCATGTAATGAAAAATATCTGACCCCAGCATTAAAAAATCGAGTCAGTTTATTGTCAGTATGGCTAATAGCAGCATCTATTACATTTTATATTTTCAATTTTCATTACAAAGAATTTTAGGTAGAGTACTCTTACGTTATTACCCATTTATTTCGTTGAACTACGTTGGTTCGTGCCAAGTTGTAGCTGTTTTAACCATGCCAGCATAAAGGTCATGTAAGCGAATGCCACAGCGTTTGGCGTCCGTTGGATTGCGGACCGCCAGATGAAGCAATTAGCCTGCATTACACGCTGCCTCCAAAGTTCCGTTTCATTAAAAATGGCCCACGTTATTCATTGTCCAGCTCGATGCTCACGATAACAAAGTATGACCCAAAGTGTTAGCGCAATTGTTATTAATAAGCAATCTCAATAATTAAATGCTGGCAAATGCAGTAATAGCGTGCCAGGAGACTTGACTTGTCCCGAAGTAACAGCAGACGTAGATGAGCAACACTTGACAGCGACGTCCAGGCTAATCAGACGCGCTTGTGCAGCTTAAGAACAGCGGAGCATTGACGTCAGTTGCGCCTAGTCACCCTATTCATCAATTACCAAGCATGATATTCACATTTGTCCTGCTAAGAGTTCAACGACACATGAGAATAGGAACTAAGTGCTTGTAAGGCGTGGCCGTTTATGCCGATATACCAGCCAAATTATTTATGGTTTAGGGCAGACTCAGCAAAGGTGGTAAAGATTTCATTGTTGTACTAATACTAAACGTTCGAAAATATACGTCGATATCTCTTAATTTCGAAGTTGATTAGAAGAAATAGTTTTTTTACTCAATAAATTTCCTCAGTTATATTCAAGTATATGACGATTCAAAATCATTTAGGTTAACTAATGTTAATCATGCGTAAGGCATATGTTAAAAAGAAATGCCATGATAATAGAAATTTACGAGTTTCTGTGCTGCTCGATATTACAAAGCTTGATGCTGCAGAAGTGCATTGGATAATAATTGTCATTAGATAATAATACATTTAAAGATAATCAATATAAATTAGGAAAAATTAATAATTCGTGGCACAGCCGAAAACGTTTCATAAAAATCGAGTTTGCGTTGTGAATTTTCTATAATACTTGACGTTTTATCAAATTATTACAAATTTTAACTTTGGAAACTTTTATTTTAAACGCAACAGAAAGAAACTTATTACTAATCGTCCAAATTAGATCGGTAAGTAATGAATTAAAGGCAATTAAATCTGCATGTAGTTTCCATAAGATTTATAATGGTACCTATTCTTCTATCTTTGGTATTTACAAACTCGCGAGTCTCGTCGGCATCCATTATGCCTGTGACACTAATTATACTAGGGCAATAAATTCTTCAAAAAGCATCTGTAAATTATATTATATTAAAGTGGACCTTCTCACAATTTTTACTGAAACTCAAAAATGTTAGATAAATGATGTCTATATTGCAAAGAGTGGAGTGGAAAACCGAAAACTGTTCATACGGATGATATTTTTCAGCAAATGACATTTCTTGCACAACATGCAAGCTTCACGATGAAAATTTTAGAGCTTAAATGATTACTGGAAGCTACATCGAGAGATCAGTTGCCAATATACTGAAAATTCATAAAAATTGAACCAGCATCTAATGAGAAATTGTCTCTAAAAATTTTTCACCTATTAAGTTTGCCATAATTTTGAACTTGAACTTGAGAATTTTGAACTTGAGAATCAGTTTCGCACGCTGTCGACGTGTGGTTGAAAACATCCGTGTGAAGGCACACCTCTGAATTATTTTACGTTACTACATAGACATTCATTGTGATCAACCAGCTTCTTCTTGATGATTGAATCTAATGATGTCGATTGTGTTTACAAGTCATGACCAATCAATTACAATGGAGTTTGAACATCTTTTATAAGAGGACCTATAATCCATGGTAATTTATAATTACCATGACTTCTTGATGATTTTAGGTAATAAAAGATTATAAGTAATCTTGTTATACGTAGTATGTCGAGCCAGGCTATGGAGGGGCCTGAGTCACCCGACACGCGATCGAAGCCCCGGCAGTGAAGCGGACGAGGCCCCATTTCCTGCTTCCGCTCGGCCGCTCGTTTCTCGGATAAAAAATGACTATTTTCGCAGAGATGAATTCCTGAACTTTCATTCTTGTGAATATATTTTTCAACTAAAATATTGTATTGTAAATAATTTTCAAAGCCACGAGCCCATTAATGTACCTTATATTTCCGCACTGAATATCGTATAATTTCATGCAACGTATTCCGTTCATATCATCGAGTCAAGATAATCGTGTTTTCAAAAAAGTAATGAACTCCAATCATATTAAGGCGATTTTGCTTGTAAGACTTTAGGTATCGACTGAACACTTCTGTTCAAATCATAAATGAATTTATTTACAGTTGATATTACAATCCTTTTTGTTAATTGTTTATTGCTTAAGATTGAAAGATAAACAAAATTCCGCTCAGTTTCTTTTGGGGACCAATTATAGAAAAAGTGACGTTAAATTCTAGGTTTTTGTGTAGGTTTTTTTTCACCAGAAATCGAGTCAACCGAATTACCGCTAACTGCGGCACCGCGCCGATCTCGAGTGCCGTTAACATCCGTCCTTCAAGCCACCACCGCGCCGGTCTCGGGCGCCGGTACGACCAATGCTTCAAGCCACCACCGCGCCGGTCTCGGGCGCCGGTACGACCAATGCTTCAAGCCACCACCGCGCCGGTCTCGGGCGCCGGTACGACCAATGCTTAAAGCCACCACCGCGCCGGTCTCGGGCGCCGGTACGACCAATGCTCCAAGCCACCATGACGCCGATCCCGGTTACCAGTACCACACATCCTTCAAGCCAACATCTTATGCAGTCCCGGTCGCCAGGAACGACATATTCTTCGACCCACCATCGCGCCGGTCCCGGCTGCCGTTAGGGCCCATCCTTCAAGTCAACATCATGCGGTCCAGGGCTCCACTACGACTATTTTTTTCAAACCAGCATCACGTGCGGCCCAGGGCGCCAGGAACGACCCAACCATTCAGCAAACATCACGCCAGTCCCGCGGGCGCCGGTGAGACACATCCTTTAAGGCACCATCGGGCCTGTATCGGGCGCCGTTTTGAAGCACCATTCCAGCCACCACCGCGGCCCTAATTTCAAATTTCCATGCTCGCTGCTGCTCTAATTGCCCCTTTAGTTTCACTAGCGCATTTGCAATGCAGCATTGCGTTTAATTCAAAGCCATTTGCATCGGTGCTACATATTTATTGGTACGATTTAGGTCGAGCCATGGCTGCTGGGCAGTAGTTGCCTAGCTTCAGCTTAGACGGGAGCTAAACTTTAATAAATTGAAATTCGGAGTCTATCATATATTATCATGTCATTACATGGTGAAGAAACATTAATACCTCATTCTATGGTAAACGGCAAATATGGCAAATGTTAATAAAAATAACATATTATTGTCTTTAAAGATATTTATCGTTACGTTAAAGCAAATATTTTGAACAGGATCGCATTTTGGATGAATA